TTTCAACTTCTTTTTCTTACTAAACTTACTCGCATTAGGTGCGCTGCATACTAAAACTTAATCATCATTTGAAAGATAATTAGTTCTATGTAGGTATTGCCAATAAAAAAACGCATTTTATTAAATTCCCTTTAGATAAGAATAAAATGATTGTAAAAGTAAAAATACTGGTATTTGCTGTTTAATTACAGGACTTAATCAATGTTGCGCGTACAAAAAACAATTTGTAATAGATCTGATAGCAAAATATGGCATTTCTCGAATATCTAGTAATATGCTAAAAACATGTATTTTAACTAACAATTCATTGAAGAAGAAAATTGTTATACTTACGAACCAAAGTTCCTTTTTAAGGGAAAGAATAATACATGCCCTGTCAAAATGACAAATAAAAATCACCTCTTAATGTAATTAACCCAAACATAGCGGAAATCGTTTCCGAAATAGATATAGGAAATCTGTTTTCTGCCTTAAAATATTGGTTTGTTATATATCGAACTCAGAATTCAAAACAAATGTTGGATTAGAAATTGCAAAATTCATATTTTGCTAATCTGTCTCGTTATTTCTATAAAATGATTGTAAAAGTAAAGACTTACCTACATATACATCCTCATTTACCTGAATTCAAAATCGAAAAGTTATTATCTATCTGCATATTTACATATGTTATAAAACAGTTTCGTGACTGACTAACAGTTAGCGTACAATCTATTAACCTTTGAAAATGGAAACATGAAATTTGGTGTGTTCTTTCAAGCGTAAATATGTCCATTAAGAAATAGTTCTTCAAAAATCAGCCCCTAATGTGTTTATCGATTAGAAAATATAAATGCTCTTCAAATAAAATGGTGAAAAGTAAATATTTTTCAAAACTACCCCTCAATAGAAGTTTTGCTCAAGAGTTTTGTACTGCAGGTTATTTTATTAAAACTAAAATAAAATAAATCCGAAATCCCCAGGAGGCACTTACGCTCATGCGACGTAAAAAGGAAAAATGTCGACAAACAATATGTACTTTCTATGTTCAGTGTGTGTTTTGCCTTAGCAATATACAAGTACACCATTATAATAAAACTAATAGTGTCCTTTAATGTCGTCACATGACTTTTAATTTCTATAATAATGTATTATTTTATTTATAATTGTGCTGTCTTAGGTTTTTTGCTATTTACTTATTTATTATTTTATTCGTTTTTGTGTTGTTACAATTCGATGTTTGTATCTACAATACTACGATATGTTCCATTTGCAAGCGTGCGTATCCAACCAGTCTTAGAACTGACGACCTTATGATGACTA